TTAAGTTTAACCATAACTTTTTCTGCTGTAATTGTTGTACCTGTAGAAGAAGTAATTGAAATATTTCTTGGTTAGATTCAGTATTCATTATAAAAATAAATTCATATTCATCACCAGAAAAACTATAATCAGTTTCAGAAAAGATTTCATAAAATATTTCATCATCTGATAACTCATCTGCAAATAAAATTTGAAGATAACATGCTTTAAGTTTTTTAATCATTTTTTGAGCACTTTTCCCTTTGTTAGGGCAGTGATCAGCATGGTGACCTTCTTGATCACAAATAAAATATTTACAAGTTTGTTTAGAAGATTTTTTTCATCTTTTTAATAACAAATTTACCTTTTTTAGGCTTTGTCGATTTATCAATTTTTTCTAGTTTCCATTTTTTCTAAAAATATTTTCGTTTTTTCTTAAAACGAGTTTTTCTGCAAGTAAGTTATTTGTTACAACCAAATTCTAAATCATTTTCTAAAATTATAGTACACTGTTGATAACTAAATTTAGATTTTACCTGTTTGATAGCCTTTTGCTTGAATTTGTAAAATTTTGATTCAGTTTTTAGATATTATTAGGATAGTAACATGTAATAGTAGCATACATGAAATAATTGATCTAGTAATAATTTATATAGTTATTTTTAAAATGTGATATTTAATAAATTTAACGTTTAAATCTCAACATCATACTAAAGGTGAAAAAAAACAAAAAAAATTAAAAATTAAATCAAAATCATAGTAGCCAATTTGAGTTGATTTTTTCTTATTTGATTCAAATTAAATTCGAATATTAATATATATATATTGTCATCCTTATATAAGTGTCATTATCTTTAGTTCCATTCAAATTTTCTTGATTTTAAGTTCAAAGAAAAATGAATGGTATAAAAAAAGGAAAAAAAATGAAAATGATACTATTACTTATTTAGAAAATAAATTATTAAAAACTATTTATTGTAAGTTAAAATTTTATAATTGTAATTAAATTACATTAAAATTTCATAATGGTTCTAGTAAAATCGATAAAAGAGAAATTATTCATCTACTGTTAATAAAATTTTTAAAATTTACAAACGAAATTAATAAAATAAAATATATCATATATATTAAAAATAAAAAATTAATTATAAAAATATTATATGTGAAAAAGAATTACTAAATAAAAAAAATGTAAACTCAATAATTAAGCAAGTACTGAGGGAGTAGCACCGGATGAACCGCCCAGCAAAGCAAACGGGAAACTTCAAAGAGTTAACAGACAAATATCATAACCGTGTGGGTCCCTCACTTCCTTTTGACTAAAATATCGTTGACTTTTTGCTGACGGTCGCCAATCCTTTAACATTACCCCACTCTTTCTACAGTGGTCGTTATCTCACGTGCGTATGTGTGCAAGCCACGTGTTTGTAATCGACGGGAGAGTGAATTAACCGAGTGAGAGACACAGAGATTGTTGATTTAGGAAGAAATGTGATTGCAGACAAGGGTGGAACCCACCCGAAGGCAGAAACTTCTCCGACAAACAATTTCCCGTCAAATTAGAAACTCAACAGAAAACAGCAAAATTAATACTTTGGCCCTTCAACAATAGTCTTGTTTTTAAAATGATGATTAAATTATTAAAGTTTGAGTAAAGATTTTTGTTTTATCACCCAACCATTATATTTTAATGGGATGCTAACGAAATAATGACATGTTAATTCTCAGATATCATGTGGTATTATCACATTAAAAAATTTTAATTTTTTTAAATTTATAATATCACTTCAATAATAACATGTGACATATCAAATGAGGTGATAATTAATATATCAATGCCAAGTTAATACATTATTAGAGATTTCGATTGACATGATAACAATGACTCTTAGATTGATATCAACAATACCACGTGACATATCAAATGATACGATAATGTCACATGATATCTACCATTTACACAATAATATCATATCAATATGGTGTTAAAAACTAACGACTGAATAATAAAAAAAATATTCATTCAAATTTTAGTGATTAAATTAAAATTTTTAATAATTTGGTGATTATATGGAAAAAAAACTACTTTACCCAAAATATTAATACTCTTTAAAAAAATTAGTTTTAAATGTTTCTTAAGAAAAAAAATTCAGAATTACTAATATAAATATAACAAAAGGAAGCATCAATTCACGTAATGTAAAAATTTTTTAATATTACACATTTTTTAACCCTTGATTTTAATAAATTCAAAAGATGAGAGAGATAAATAAAAAATAATAAAAAAATTTAATCTTATCTCTTGAATTTTTTAAAATAAATAGTTAAAAAATGTATAAAATTAAAAAAAAATTACAATGTCTAAATTTATCCCTCCTCAAATAAAAAATATTACTATAAATAAATTTATAGACTAGAAACATTTGCTTATATTTTAAGAGGGATATACATTCAATGTTTAATATTGAACAAAATTAATTAAAAAATCTCAAATTTAAATCTTAAAATTGAAAAGATGAAACTTATGAAGTAAAAAGTAGTTTTTTAGTATACATAGTCCAAAATTTCAACTCTCTTTGTTCAATTAAATCAAAATCCTTTTACTAATTAGTAATTCATCCCATAGCTGCTTAATTGTGTTATTCATCCCATTTTAAACCTTTATTAGGGTCTTTCAAATTTTGTTAAGTATGTAGATAAATTAAAAATAAATAAATAAAACATTTGATTTAATGATAAATGTATATATTTTGCTCAAAGAGTATGAATTCCATTTTTTTGAAATAAAATAAAAGAATTAAAATTCTAAATTTTTCTTCCATAATCCAACTTATATGAATAAAAGTTAATTACAATTTTTTATCTAAACTTTGACAAATATATAAATTGGTATTTAAATAAATAAAATATATAATTTGCACTCAAAACTTTCAAATAATGTATTATTTTAATCCAAAATTTAACATTGTTAATTTAGCTAGCCTATATGATATGTAACTATTATAATTTTATTATATGTACGTTATTTATTAAATAAAAATATTAAATATTTTGTAAAAATATTATGCAGATACCACATGATAAATAATAATTGACCTATCCTAAATAATTTTATGGTTTAACTAAAAATATATTTTTTAGATCCTTTTTATTTAAAAAAACATGTTGACAATATGTATAGTAAATACATAATTCAAAAAATTTTGTCAAATGCTATGTATATAAGTTAATATGGTTAACAGATTAGAGTTGGGATTAAAATAGTATATAATTTGAAAATTAATGATACAAATTATACATTTTATGAAGTTCAGGGAGCAAATTGTATATTTTAATTTTTAGATATCAAATTATACATTTTTTTCTAAAATTCATGTGCCAAAAGTGTAATTAATTTTATAAATAAATATATCACATAAATTCATTTAAACTTTTTATTTTTTTATTTGAAGTTTTCGTTAGCTTTGGGATACTAATTATGCTAGGAGAGATTCACCTCTTTGTATATCAACTAATTTCACATATTTTAACTCATTGAAAACATTCAAGCACAGTGCAAAAAGATGGAAATATATACCAACTAAAGCTTGGGTTTAAGTTTTGATATTGTACTTTGGATGTTAGATTAACAATTTTTCATTGAGGCCAATGGGACATTGTGGTTTGCATAAACCATTTCTATCTTTTTATTTATTTATTTATTTGTTTTAAATGAAAAATTCAAGAAAATAAAAGTTTGAACTTTGAATTTTAAATCGTATTTTTCTTTAAAATAATAGATAATAAGGCTAATTTAATTGACACAAATATATGTGATATTTGATTAATATTATTGATCATATCATGTGTACACCACATAAAATCATCAATATCCTTTTTAATGTTAATTTAAAATGTATTTTTTTACATAGATAATAAAAATCTCGTCCAAAACTGATCAATTGTTAGATGTCGCGTGAAATTTACATGAAGATTTCATAAAATATTTAGCATTTTTCTTTAACACATGCTATGCTCATGACATGATTAAAGTGGTCATGTGTTGAAGAAAAAAAATATTAAATTTCAAATACCCTAAATATTTCTTTAGGTTTTAGTTGTAGAGGAATATATGTTCTGGTCAAATAGCAAGATTTTCTATTTATTTTGTGAATTTCATTTACAAATTTTAATTAATTTTGGTGGGATTGTTTAGAAAATTGGAAAAATGAAAGTAATTTTTCAAAGAATTATTAATATGGTGAAAACAAGAAATTCCTAAATTGAAACCTTAAAAGATTTTTGAGTTTGTGAGATAAAATAATACTAAATATTTATATTTGCTGAAAATAAAATTCATCTTTTTGGGACTTTTGAATTTGAAATTATTCTTTTGATACATTGCATGTGAAATTAATGGTATATAAATAAAAAAAAATTTTCAAATTAAAAGAACTTGTGTACTCTCTTTAAAATTTAAAAACTTGCAAGAATATAAAAAAATTGATAAATATTAAGACTTTGATTCTCTTAATTATTTATTTGATTTTATGAGATGTATTTTTCTTAATTAAATTTAAGTTAGACATTAAAAGATAAATTATTCCATTCTTTCACCTAATTCACTTGTTTTAATTTGTTCATATAATTTTAAAAGTTTCTTTCTTTTTATAAGAAAAGGTAAAATTACCTTCGTAAAAAAATTTTTCTTATTTGTATTTTTTATTTTTTATTTTAAAAAAATTACAGACTAAAAATATAAAAAATAAATATAAAATTTTAAATACTCAGATTTAAATTTTAAAATAATTAAATATTATATTTAATTATATGAATTAATTGAATTAAATTTTTTATTTTATTTCTTTTTAATCTTCAATTATTGAGTTTTTTTTTTGTTAATTAAAGAAATAATGTAATTGGTGAAAGCCAAGGCAGTTAACAGAAAAAAGAAGAGGTGAAGGTTTTCAATTTCAAAGTCACTTTCAAGTTTCAACCATGGTTAGAAAAATGGCCAATAAATCTAAGGTTAAGTCAACTACTCTTATCTCCTTTGGGCTCCATGGTTGGATATTAGCTGTCAAACAAGAACACAAGAGCAACATATTCGCAAATATTTTATTTTAAAAATTTTTCTTTTCTTTTTTGGTTTTTCCTTTCACAATTTATTTATTTTATTGCTTCAAAAACCATAAAAGGACTCTTTCACTAACCCCATTTCTTCTCCTACTGTTTCCCAAACTTTTTCTTTTCATACACACTCTTTCTCAGCTTCCCTGAGCCTTCAGCAGTGTTGGGTTAAGCTTACTTTTGCATTTTGGGATTAAAAAATTTTGATTCTTATAAAAGTTTAAACTTTTAGACGCAAAAACTGGCAAGTTTTGGCAATAAATAAAGTTTCAGTTTTGAGTCCCCAAAAAAAATTTTGCTGTTTTTAATTTTTGTGGACTTTTTTTTTTGGTTGAAAAAATGGAAACTGAATCATAAAGCCTTAAACTTCGGCCTTAAGAAAAGTTTTGGTTCAATTTGGGTGTTTTCTTGAGTTGGGTATTGAAGATTTTCAACTTATAGTAAAAGGCTTGAGATTTTGCTTTGAGCTGTTTTAGCCATGCAGACTTTATGTTCTTGGTGAGTTGCTTAATTCCTATATGTGTTTCCTTTTGGTTTCTTTACTTGTTCTTTTGCTTCAAAGCAGCTTTGTTTCATTGTTTGGTAATGTTAATTCAATAAAATATGTAACCATTAACCTTTTTTTTTTTTTTTTTCATTTGGAATGCTTCTCTGATTTGCATGAAATTGGATTTACTTGTTTTTTTTTTTCTTTCTTCCCCCCTTGAGAATGCTTCCTTCTGTTGCTTTGTGTTTGTATGCTTGAATGTTAGTAATGTTTCCTTGAAATTATTTGTTTAATCGTAGTTTTGTTAAGTAAAATAATCTTTGGTTGGTATCATTGAGTTATTCTTTGGAATTAAACTGAAGGAATGAGAAGATTGCAATTGTAAATTAGATGTATTTATGGTTCATTCATGCATGATTTTTTCAATCTTTTTTCATCAATTGGGCCCACAAAATATCATTCATTAGTTAATCGCACACACAGAAATGATCACTGTGTTTTTTTCCAAATTCATTTATATATGTACTATTTTACTGAAGCTTGGAGCTTTTTCCACCGTCCATTTGATGGTACTGGTTTGTAAGTTTATATCTATGACGTATTGCCGGTGTATAGACTTATTCTTATTACATGCATTATTTATTTATTTATTGCTTTTCATTTTTTAGGTAAGTAGGTTACAGTGTTTTCATTGATTCTTGCAACTGTTTATTTCTTAATTATGGTGACATTGTTTTTTAATCATGTTGTTGTGATTACATTAATGAATGGAATGTTTATAAAATTATGTCTCTGGTCTATGAATGAATGATTATCTGCTGACCAAGCAAGATGTTTTTCCATTTATCATATTCAAACATTGCAATGGTATCCCATGCGGCTTATATAACGTATGATTTTTTTAAGTTTGTACTGGTAATGAGATTATGTCATTTGTATGCCCAAATTGGATGTATTCTACCTTGGGTACTTCACTGACCAAAATAAGTTTCATTGATGGTCAACAACTCAAATGCAGTATCGAATTTCTTCTTTGCTCTAAGCCTCTAACTACAGGGGTGGCCTTTTGCCATTTTTATATATACAGATGCTTTTATCCGATGTCCAAAGGCAAAGGACCAATCACCCTTCTCAACAAGGCCTCAAGCTTTCCTATATTCCTTTTTATGCATTTTGTTTTGCCTTCAATTTCTTCTTGTTTAACTAAGAACTGACAGGAGCAATTGGTAACCTACTAACATTAGATTAGACTTTTTTTTTCCTCTTTATTCATTTGACCAAAACCTTTTTGAATTGGTGTTGACTGTTTTAATTTTGCTCTTGCATTTCTTTTGTTAAACTTGACTGAGCTGAATGTTTATGGAAAATATGGTAGAAAGTTTGAATCATTGATTTAATTATGCTTATATGGATGATTCCATGTCACATTAGTAACATGGCCTTGATTTCAAAGTTGACAATTGTTGATTAGATGATCTTCTACTATTGCAATGAATATTTTACGGTAATCATGGTCCTTCAATCTAGTTAACTTACTGTCTTAGATATTTTTATTATCCTTTTCAAGACTGTTCAGCTGGCTGAACGGAATCACATGGATGAAGATTGGCTATATGTTTGTTGCCTGTTATTGTTTCAGTGAGTGATTTTTTCTTCTCTTTTAAACTAGTGAAGAAGGGATCGATATTGGAAAGATGATGGAAAACAAAAGGATACCTTGCTCGGTTGACCATAGCAGTTTCTCTTCTTTGGCATCCAAACGGCAGAAGGCTGATATGTCTATCTCCGCAAAGGTTTTTAGCCATCTTTACTCCACATTGTATCTCTTCTCAGTGACACATATTCTTCCACATTCATTTCATAGCTATACTAAACAAATATCTTGTATCAAGACTCCCAACAGTGATGGGGTACTCAAATCAATTCAGTTTGACTATAGCTTAATCCCCATTAGCAGGGGTTAGCTACATGTAACTTTCTACTTTTTTCCCTTTTATTCCTAGATCAACTCATTTGTTTGGTTCTTCCAATTATCTCTTCTCAAAATATCTAGTAGTTCATCCTATTTGTTGTGCGTTTGTTTTAATCATGTCACTGTCTATGAAATCAATATAATTTTCTGTTTTTATCTTGTGCTGAAAACCTATGCAAACTTTTATTTGAAACTAGTAAGATGATGATCACATGTTCTTTCAAACAAGGTGCCTAGTTTATATACTCTAGGCATAACATACATTCTTTTCGTACTTATTTTAGGGGTCATATGGGAAGGCATTTTCTTCCAAAGATGCTTCCAAATGCATGCTCAGCTATTACTTATTTATTAATCAATGGTGTTAGTTCAGTTTCTAGACATGCAGAGTTTTATCTCTTCATATCTTCACTATGTACTATAGTAAGTGGTATGTATTATGTGATGTGTTTGTTGCTAATATTAATCTTAATTTACACTTTCTGGCAATAGGATAGGAAAGAGAAGCTTGGTGAACATGTTGTCGCTCTGCAGCAGCTTGTTTCACCATATGGAAAGGTAAAATTGACAATCAATTGTTTACATTGGATTGGCAATACTTTATATAGTGCTAGTACTAGACATCAACATTTAGACTTTAGTCGGTTGTTTCTGGTGGAGATTGCGTTGAAAGTCAAGTATAATATTTTTAATCACAAAAAACTTGAATGGTGATGCTATAGTTGTATTTTAGCATTTGTTATGACTTTTAATAAAGTTGCCTATCTTGCTAAAACTGTGAAGCTGTTTTTGATTAATCGCAGACAGATACAGCTTCTGTCCTCCTGGAGGCAATGGAATACATACGATTTCTTCATGAACAAGTTAAGGTTTGTTTTTCTTGCCTGTTGTACTTAAATTATCCTTGCATGCATATTAGTTAGTACTAATTACAAATTTTAAATGCTTGCTTCTAAAGATCAGCAATTGCAAATTCCAAACAATATACATACTGCCTAGAGTTGTCCAGATTGTTGATTAGGCATACTCATAATATCCGCTGATTTGTTTTTTAATTTAAACATGCGACCTGGGAGATTTAACAGTTGCAGACTCAGTCCAGCATTGAACTTTGAACAACTTTAGCTTACAATTTTAAGCGATTCAAGCTTTGACCAACTTAAAAATGTCAGGAGGAGCTTTTAAGTGTTAGGTTAGTCTTAGGCAATGTTCAAAGGGGAAACAAAAGTGAATATCAAAGAAAAGAAACGAGGAGAGTGAAAATGAAAGAAAGCATTGTTTTTTCCTTTTAAAGATCATGGAACATTATTAATGGCTATGACCAAGTGTGGAGTGATATGCTTGTGGTATTTAAGTTAGAACTTGAATTTGTATGGAATTCATCTCCATGATGCTTGTAAATACGTGTGCCGTCAGAAACCCTTTTCTTGTCTGTAGAGAAATTCACTTTTATGTATAAATGGCAATTTTAACTTTAAATTTCTTGGCGTTTGTGTTTTTGGGGTTTGTTTCAGGTGTTGAGTGCTCCATATCTCCAAACCACACCAACAAATAATATGCAGGTAAGCATTAAATGGACCCTGGTAAACAAATTAGGACATGTAACCTGAAGATGATCCAACTAGCATCTTCCCAGGAAGATAAAAAAGTTTTTATAGAGAATTTTTCGTAATGTCTGAAAACATAACTAGCTCTTTACAATGCCTCTTGAGAACCATGGGGATCAAATCACCTTTAAATTCAGGATAACAATATGAGCTGTTCTTATATGTTCAAACCCTAGTCATCTCTATTTATGGAATTGATTTGGTTTGATTTCTGTGTTGTTGAAACACCGGTTATATTGAAACACTATATAGACATGTTCAAAAGTTATGGATGGATTTGAAATGGATTTGATTTTTCTTCCAGGATGTAGAGCATTATAGCCTGGGAAACCGAGGTTTATGTCTTGTTCCAATCTCTTATACTGTTGAAGTTGCTCGGAGCAATGGTGCTGATATTTGGGCTCCCATCAAGTCCACATCTGCTAAATTTAACAAGGCTATCTCACAATTCAATTGACATTTTATTTCACAGCAACTGGAAGGCTTTGAAATCCACTAAAGTGGTTTAGAAGGTAACCAACTTATCATTGAATATGCGAAATTTTCCCAGGAAATTTATATAGATGATGTACTAAGATAGGATGATGATAGGCAAAATTATTAGTCTTTTATTGGGAGAATTTGTATCTAAATGCAGTCCTGGACCTTTCTAGTTTTAAGCAGGTGCCGGGAACAACCCGCATTCAATCTATTCAAGCATAAAAACTTCTTTCTCTCTCCTGATCATGTGATGTAAAATGTATATCGGTGAACATTAGTTGAATAACTACTTTAAATTGTATCTATTAGTATATGAAGGGGAATTCCATGGTTAATGAAGCTGTCCGGTCTTTTTTCCTAAGGAATCATATGGGTTCTAGTCAACCTCATGACTTACTGCCTGAGTTAATTTTTGCATTATTGCCTCACTAGTTAAGATTTGTGCTTAAAGAATGTGTGGGTTCCAAATTGTTGCAAATTAACTCTGGGATCTAAATTCCTTAATGATTATCAAAGTCTTTTATTTTGTTTTATTTGGGAAAAGACAATCAAGCATCAATCACTGAATCAAATATTCGAATGTTTTGATCTTTAATTTTTTCATGAAGAGTTTTATCTTTGTAATTCCCAAACTTAAATGACCAGATGGAGGGAAGAATGAGGGTTTTCTGAGCTGCATTTGATGATGTCCAAATGTTCAAGGTACTAGCCAAGTCAACTAATGCGCTAAGCTATGGTCAGTTTAGGGGGTTACCCTTTCTAAGAACCCTTGCCTCTCAAAATAGGGTTAAAACGTAAAACTCATAGTTGGAAAATGGTTTTAAATTTAGAAAGCTCTTTCTTTGAAATGCATTCACATTATCAGAGAAGTGAAAACAATCTGAATTGGCAGTATCTTCAAAAATTCAACAATGGCATTAAGGAACAGTTTGGCCTGCTGCTCTCAAGTCATTGTTTTTCGCTCTGCTGTTAAAAGTTCCTTGCAGGGTGCAGTTTGGTCACTGGCCCAGGCACTGGCACCAGGCAAGACATGGTTACATACCGCATAACCTGTGATCCATCAGACTATCACCACCTAAAATTGCACAAAAGTCTTAAAAGATTTGAGTTCATACTCAACACTTTGTAAAGGCATGGTTTAACTGCCACGCATCTTCGTTAGGTTTTTTTTTTTTTTTTTGCCTGTCTATATTTCCTGATCTTCGAACAAAAGAAAACCCACTTCAATCAGGACCTGTTAGAGCTTAATGAGTTCAAGCTTTTTTCTTCCTACCTGCAGAAGTTGGTGCCCCTGGTTCAGCAATTGTCAGAAGTGAAAGCTCCATTCTTATTTGAACTCCGTGTTAATGCAGCCCCCTGAAGACATTATACCATATACATATACAAACATAACTGAAGTAAACCTTATCTTAGCCAGTAAAACCTGAAAAGGGGATAGGACAGGAAATGTTATCAACTTTAACTAACCGGCCAAAATACAGCTAATCCAATTCAATTAGAATCCCATCAAAGGACATGATAGATGAGCCCTTACTAAGCCCTAGCTTAATTCATGTCACTTCATTTTATAGTAGTATCCGAGCAAAAGATGTAAAAATGACTAAGGTTTTACACAAATAAATCCGGCAATCTTGCTGAATTAGAATTTACTTTGCCTTGAAACCACTGGAATGTGAATGAATTAAATCGGTCTATGAGCTTGCTGAATTAGGTTTAACTTTCTCTTGCAGGAATTGCAGCATGTGTTCACGTTTCCAATTGTCGATTCTGCGAAAAAACCATAGAAGGACTAAGTAGGAGACTTATTGTTTTCACCAAATGGAAGCAAGAATAATGCAAACTAAAAATGGTGGGAGAGAATTGTTTTCTAAGTCTTAAAAAAAGGCTGAATTTTAAAAGTAATAATAGAGTTGTCATCCTCAATCTCGTGCATTTCTGCATGCTATGCATATCTGAAGGATACCAAGACAAAATTCGTTGCATAAACAAATATCATATTTATTCGAATGCTTTCTTTCTAATTAGTTTGCAGGTGAGCAAAAAGGGAGCAAACCGAAGGGGTAGGGGAAGGATAATCATGCTTAGATGTTGAGTTTAAGTACCAAACTTTAAATTGTGAGCATTATTATGAGTTTGGCCAAAGTAATCTGTCGAAGTAAATTCCTCTTTATTCAATGGATATTGCATCTCAAGATTTCAACATGAGCTAACTGCATTAATAGAAGCACCTAACCTTATAGTTTCCTTATGTTGGCCCTCATCATCCAACATGATCAACTTGGGAGGAGAATTGAAAAGATATTGAACTTTAACAGTTGGAAACTTGTCCTTCTCTTCTTCAATGAAACCAACAATTTCAGGATAGAATACCAGTTTCCTCATGCACACCTCCAATATTGCACCTGAATATGTAATCTGCAATTGCATGAATTTAGAAGTGACTTAAGAAATTAGAAAAAGAAACACCACAGCATGCAATACCAAAATTAAGAAACAACTTATATATTCCCACTAAAAATGAAAAGGTAATTGAGAATAATATAGAAACAATAGATCGTTATCTTTTTATATATCAGTATCTAGAATTAGATTCTTATTGTTCTGCAGTCCCATCACATGGTTCACTTTCCACCTTTCCCCCTTTCTTTTTGGGGATAAATACCATTCTTTTTTTTTTTTTTTTGAAAGAAAGGAGAAAACCAATATCAAATGAGTAGCTAAAAAATGCAGGATTATGTACAAGACAGAATTATGGGGATTCCTACACTTCATGATAACTATAGTTGAGGAATTAGTGGTTATATGATCTAGAATACAATTGTTGGTTAAAGGCATTTTGGAAAGAAGATAGAACATCTTACATGTTCTTACATGCAAAGTCCAGTAAGAAACTTGAAACCCTTAATATTTACTAAGGTAAAAAAGAATGTCATTTTATCAGAGGTACCTGCAGTAGTATTATACATGCTAGAGAACATGGCTGCTAAAGGTTCAATAACAATGTGAAAATCCATTAACTCTTTTGCTAGACAGCTACATCCTCCCTTTCACAACTCAATCTAACCTGAGAGTTAACAGACTTCCCCTAGGTGCAATTTAGAAAACATTGCACTGATAAAGGTTATTTTAAAGAAAAAAAAAATTAAAGGAGGATGAAGTGTAAGAGAGATTTAGAGAACATCAAGGGTGGTTGAAAATCTATTAAAGAATAAAATTTTGAACCCCTCCTGCGCCAAAAAAAAAAAAAAATAACCCATCTTCAAAGCATATTTCATACCTTAGTAATAGAATCATCTGAGTCTTCCGTGCAACATTTCAAGCAGTCAGATATCAACTCTGCAATCAAAACATATAGTTACAGCCAGATTGATGCATGTAATGCATTTGTCAATTAACTGCTCTTTAGTGTTGAGTTTAATATGTAGCATAACCACAACAGAACAGCTGTGTTCTTTAAAATCTCTGGTGTCACTCCTTTTTTGTTAATCAAATGCATTGCACTTTGCACACAATGTTCTTGCTACATCACACAAAGTCTTCCCACCTTAAACTATTATGCTATGTTTCAGCATACTCATTGCCCTTTTACATGATAATATTACCACATCAAGGACAGTGACATCATAAAACAGCAGAATCGCAAGGCAGTTTCATTTTGTACAGAAGGCAAGGCAACATATAGTTCTATTTCTAAGGATTTTGATTGCACAAAAGGAGCCAGAGTAAATTTAACAACAATAAAACTGTACCTTCTGCTTAGCTATGATTTTCCTAAAAGTAACAAAAATAGTAAAGCCAAACTTCATTAAACCGAAACAATAGATGTCGTATTAAAATTATAATCACTTTACAAAATTTAAAGTTTTCAATAGAACCAGCGCCACAACTTGAGAAATTTTAAGAAAACTGGATCTTAAGCTGACAAAAATCTAATTTTTTTAACTACTCAAACTGTTGCATCCACCTACAAAGATGCTTGATATAAAGAATTATGATGGTTATTTGTAATTTGACCTTATGACATAGAGCTTCACTATTTTGCACCTAGCAAAAGTATCAAAATTGATGCATCATTGCTCCCAATTTAAGATCAGACAAAGCCCCCTGATATCATAAAATCAAAACCCAGAAAGAAAAAAGGAAACCCAACATATAACACCAAAAACAATCCAAAGAATTCACTAAACACTCAAAACCTTAAAATTTCCAAAATTTAATCAAACAAGGCGTTTGAACAGTAAAACAATGAAAACCCAAGTTAAAAAATTTGACAAAATGGTAGATTTTTTTGAAAAGGGCGTTGATGCAATACCTTTGTCCTTGACATACTCAGAAAAAGTGTTGCAATCAGAACAAAGGGCTAAACCCGTGAAACCCAGATCCTCACATTGCTTTGAGCTTAGCTGTCCTTTTGACGATGATGCAATCACGGCGGCTGATGAAATTACAAGAATTATTAACAAAAAATAATATAGTATGTTTCTCAACATCTCTATCTCACTCTCAGAACTTCTTTCCTTTCACGAGTCTTCCTCTTCGGAGTTGAGAGTCCCTTCCTTTCCTTCAAACAGGGAAGAGGTTCTCTTATAAAGCAATCCGTGTTGATGAATTTTGATAACAAAAGAAAAACGATGTCGTTCAGCCTAAAGGTTATTTTAACTAAGGTATCCATTACGACATATTCAAATAATTATAATCGAATAATTAATGAATTCATATAAAAATTTATTATTTATGATGAATTTAATTCGAATACAGATATAGTTTTTTTTAAATTAAATTTTTGAATATGTTTAAATTTTAATAAATAATAATAAATATTTAAATTCGTATATGAATTAATTATCTATTTATATATGTCAAATCTATAAAATTTTATAATTAAAGATTTCAAACCTTAAAAATAATTTTTATTTTTAATGAATAATAATAAATATTCGAATTCGTATCTAAATTAATTATCCGTTTATATATCAAATATATAAAGTTTATAAATTTGACTTTTAAATTAGAATTTTATTTATTTTATATTTTGATAAAAAATTTAAATAAATAAATATTTTAATGAATTCGAATATTTAAATAGATAATACTTATTTAAATGAATTCAAATTTAAATAATGATATTAAACTTAAATAAATATTTAAATAAATTTAGGTATTATAAATATTAAATGAATGCCAATAAAAATATCTCAAAAATAATAAATATTTACTCCATTACATTTCTAATTTTAACAATGTAAATAGTAAATGGGTAATTAGGTTTTAAATTTTGAGTCATGTTAGATTGCGACTACAGATTTGGATTAAAAAACAAAGCAAATGAGATTTCAAAGTAAAATTTAATTTGTACTTTAATTCTTGCTTATTTTTAAATTTGTTACTCGAAATATTTTTAATTCATAATCTTAAAAGAATTTATCTTATATTATATAATTTCAATTAATACTCGCAAAAATTAGTGTTAGTTATGTAATAAAACACATGTAAATTAATAAATATATCGTTTATAATTATTTTTTAAATTTATGAATTCATTGGAAGCTTATTTAATGGTAAATTTGAAATATTTATTTGTGAAGGGTACATGTTTTATACACGCCGTGGCACACGACCATTTGTCTCGACGATACCTACTAAAAAACGTATGGATTCGAATCCTCGCATCTTCCAAAATCATTAAACAAAAACCATAGACTCCAACATGATGAACATCCAGCTTGGCAGTTAGATATCGTAAGATCATGGCTGTTTGGTAACACTAATTGTATAAGCTTTGCAACAAGCAGCTGGCTGAATCATGCCAATCAAATGCAAAAAAAAAAAAATTGGCTGTCAAATAGTCCTGTATTTTTATTTACATATATAAATTATGAAGAAATAATAGATATTTGTTGAATATTAAAATTATTGTTGCCATTAGCCCATTAACATGGAAAAATGCATTACAAGAACAACCCCCTTGCTACTTCCCTTCTAAGGAGACCAGCTTAAGTTACATTATACACCTAGGCCATTGCTCTACATATGAATTTTACATTACATATATTGAAAGAAAGAAGGAATTATATGATAAAAAGTGAGGAAAGAAATTACCCTAGTTCAGTGCTAGCTGATTTCTTGAATGGCCGAGGGCGAGGATGCGGAGTTATTGGTCTCACCACCGGCAGTATGTGACTTGATATATGAACGGGCAACATCCAACATCAACTCCACCTCTTTCTTGTACTACACAGAAAGATGGCAAAAATATTACATTCAACCTCTTCGAAAAAGTTTTCAGAGAATGGAATTCATGAATATGATCAGTGAAGATGGTCCACTATACTAACCTCATTGATAGCGCCTGACCTAATTTTCGATTGCATCACACACCATTTCTTAAAATGTGCACCTGTATTGAAACACCACCTTAGTATAATTCATTGACGATCAGACAAAGAAAATATAATGTTCCAAACTAGGACACTTTAATGGGAAAGGATCCACTCCAATGGCCGTTACTTTCATCATAGACTGACAAATGTACTTTTATATAACTCGAGGGTCAAGCTTTGTTCGCTTTGTTTTCTGTTTTTTAATTAGTTTTCATCTATCTCTAACTCTATTTAAGGCCATTAAAATTCTTAAAATTCTATCATAGACTAACTTCAATGTACACTAATCACCTTAGAATAAAGTAGCGGACGTCTCTATTACTTTAATGAAGACTGTCAAGAGTTAAACGTCATGTTGTGGTATATTGAAAACCATGGATGGGACATAAGTCTCTTCTTTTCTCTTCTTCCTTCATCTTTTGTGGTAAAGGACGGGATTGAAAGACCATCTCTCAATAATAGTTCTATTAGGAGCACAACTAAAGCGGGAAAATGTTGTCAAGAGATGTGTCCAAAGGGACACACCCTAGCAACTAGAACTTAAGACTCCAATTTCGAGGTCTCAGATTAAATCATTTGAAAGGACGAGTGTGATTTTATGGGATGGGAGAGGGTTACCTCCCTATGTGTGGCCCAAGAACCAATACATCTCGATATGTACTGTAAAAAAGTTGTCAAGAGATAAAAGCCAACAGAAAACTTACCCACTTTTATGTCTAAAATAGAAGAATTTTCACCATTGTTCTCTGCACACCATCGACAATGAACCTGATCCAGCAAAAATAAAATGATGTCACTGATAATCTAGAAGCTAAAAATAAATAATAGCACAAAAACATGAGATATAATCATCCTCAACACACACATACACACACACACACACACACACACATATATATAATTCTTCCTAGAGTTTAGAAATGTTACTCAAACTGAACCCAAATTTCTTAAAACACCAAACTGTTCATACCATATGGTATATACAGCATATTATGATATAATATTCAAGAATATAAGCCATCAATACTATTTTGGTCCAAACTTCATTGTACATAATGGCAAGAAAATGACCTGCAATATGGGTTTCATTGTAGCTGACAGATCTGGCCACTCATTTAAATATCTGATGCTATAACAGACTACATAGCACATATAGTCGTGGGAGAGCCTTTGCCCCTTGGTTTGCCTTCTTTTATTCCCCGCTTTATATCAGCTAGGGAATAACAGGCAATGCTAGAAGGTAGGTAACAGAGTATGACCAATACCACTAAGGGTGATATGCAAGTAAGTAGATGAACAAAAACATGCAAGAAAAGCCAGCAAGTGGACTAATGTCCCAATTCAAAAGGAAAATGCCTTCCGCAATGAGCCGCAATTTCCCTCTTGATAGAACTTAGGTGATGATATGTTTTGGGCTTTTCATTTGGGGCAGCTGAGCTGATGAGCATCCATAATTCTGATGTTAGTTATGATTGCAGTACATATCTCTGTTGATACAGATACAAAATACATATGGTAGTACCAATGATTTCAGCAAGAGGTTAATCTGTTCCTATCAGAGCCAAACATCAATTTCTTTTCCTCAAATTAAAGGACAATAAATGGAGGAGGATGTTGTAATAAATAACCATCCATAGTTATCTGTGATGTTTCTTAGGGTCAGAGGTTAATTTATTTATTCATTGCAGTGAGAGCAATCTTATCAACCAGAAAACAATAAGAGAGAAGCAAAATATTAATTGCAGAACCCCTGACAAGACCACAGCCGACAGGGACCCTGCACAGTGCACACAACAAAGTGCCTGTGGGATCTATAACAACATATTTCAAACCCAGAAGCAATATGTCCGGCTGTTACATACCTCAAAGTTGGACCCAAATGGAACATCATGTGCCTGTTGTACAGTTTCAAAAACCTACACGAAGAGAGAAATTGACTTAATTCAATTAAATGAAACAAACATAGAATCTGCAATAGAATCTGAATAAAGATGCAAAAAAGGCATATCTATCACAAGCAATGAATTTTTTGACGAAGAAAGTGAGGCAACTTTATACTAAAAAGAATAGTAAAAGCTACTACCAATGTTATTATTGAATAAGAATTGACAGAATGGATGAGCAAAGAGGTCATACAAGCTTTTTCTTATCTGCTGATAAAACAGAATGCTGATACTCTGTCATGGCGGTGTCTGGAGGGCACATGGGACTGTTACAAATGGATCTGAATGTTATCTCTCTCACCTGACCATCATATTCATCTGCAGCATGCCACTGTCCCATCTGAAAGTAGCATAGGAGAGTGAGTACAAACTTCCAATTCATCCAACTAGAGAGGAAAAAAATCTTGGGAAGATTAACACTAATTTCTATGAGTGAAAAGAGGTCAAGTTCATACCATCCAAAATTTTGGAGATGTTTAACTAATTTCTATGAGTGAAAAGAGGTCAAGTTCATAACATCCAAAATTTTGGAGATGTTTAAAGCGAGTAACAGTTATTTGAATTTTTCAGCCTTTTGTATCCATTCCCAGTTAAAACTCAACATCACATTTTACAAATAAATACCAATGCTTTTAAGACTTGAGCATATAAGCATAAAATGCACAATAAAACAAAAGGCATATTTAACAGAATAAGCATGGAGGAATACTAAAATGATCTTAGGCTTACTGTAAGATTTGTATCCTTCCGTGCTGACCGATATTCATTTGTGAAACTAGAGTCATCACTTAATAATAAATTAAAAAACTGCTCGGCGGTGCATGGAAATACATCCTGCAGGAAACATTCGTGAATCACGTATATACCAATTCACAATATAATAAACGAAGGCAGGAAAAGGGATGATGTATACATTGTAGATACCAACAAGAACCTCTTCTTTGATAAAAACTTGTAGTTTTTCACTTTTAGATGCATTATCTTCGAGAGCCTTAGCTTGCCTTCTACTACCTCTAATAGAGCTACTATGTGCACGCAATGCTGATTCTTCTCTCTCCTACATATCATCCAAATATAGCAAATAAAAAGTTGCTTCATTTGATCAATCAGTTCAGAGGGAAAAAAAGTTAAGAATAAATACAAGCAAGCAAGCCAGAAACAAAGGTATTATTATGGATCAAATGGTGCACTTCTTCTCCTAGAAGTATAGGATCAACGATTATCCACGCTAATATTTTATATTTGCTAAATAATGCAACATTTTGAAAAAAATTCCCTACATTTATATTAAGTTAGAAAAAAGAAAGGAGGTTAGCCAACATTACTTCAAACAAATTAACAAGGGTTTCCACTACATGTTGGCATGCCCTACGAAAAGGATCTTTCTCTGTTGGTCATCCATGAATAATTACAGTCAAAATAAACCAATTCAACCATAATTGACAAAGTTCAGCAATTCTTTGAGTTCCTTAAAGTACAAAATCTTCAAATCTTCACATAGTTTTCCTTTACATACTTGAATAATTTTTCTAGCTTTTGCTTGAAGGAAACAATTTGAGGACACAAAAGCAAGTGGCAAAAGCAACAAATAAAGGAGCTTTTGTTTTATTTGCATTCACAACCAATTATATCCACCCATCACATTCTCATTAATATGCCTATATAACCTCTATTCCTGAGTAGTTGAAACACATAATTGAGGCATCTCACAGGTTGGACAGTGCCCCCTAGACGCTATATTACATCATTCAGTTAAGGACTTCTTTTTACCATTCAGCTTTCACAATCTCTACAGCCATATATTCCCAGCATGTTTTTGCCTCTTTTACATTTTTCAACCTACTCCTCACAGTACAGTCTAGTATTTCCCTACTCCTTAGCCTATAAATAATTATATACTGCACTAACATTTTCCAATTTCCTATCTTCTTTACCACCTTTCTTTCTTGAGCTCCCAGAGTACAGCAAACTTCTCCTCTCCAACCCCCTCTAATGCACAACTCTTCAGTTTTCACCCAATTTTCAATCAAGTACCTATTACAGAATAAAGTACCTATATATGGCTTCTTCAAAATGTATTGGCGACTAAATTCTCTTCTCTTTCTCTCTCTCTCAGCAGATGGTGAAAACAATGTGAACAAGATTGTTTCAAATTCAATACTAAATGAGTATTAAATGCCCCTTGTTTGGGCAGTAAGAAAAGCTTTTGCCTATAAATTTTTGCTGTTTCTTAGGATGAGAAGAGAACTAATGTTTCTTGCCATATCAAAATGATAATCAAATAATCCAGACTAAAGTTCAGCAATAAGTTAACAATAAAACAAAAGAACCAAAGAGTAATTGACAGATCACAGAGCACAAGCAAGAAAACCTTCTTCTCAGCCTCCAACATTGCATGGTAGATCTTTTCTGCGCGCTGTAATGCTCTTAGTGCATGGTTCCTGTTCCAAAATGATGCAAATTTATACCTGACTCTACCTGAAATTGGCAAAAGAAAAATACCAGCAACATAAACACGCCTTTACTCAATTCATTCTAAAACCATAATCTTACTCTTGCAAAATGGGATTCTTCCTAATGATGTACTAAACTAACTTGATCTTTGAAAGAAAAGATCTCTGAATCCATAACTGAATAAAGAGGGGAAAAAACCCCTAGTGTATAAGACATCAATCTGTATAAATGACCTTAAGCACCAGTAATTTAAATGATAAAGAAGAGTGTTCCTTCAGAATGTAAAATCAGTGCATCTTTCTTTAATGCAACCAAAAGAAAGAAAAAAGGATTTTTTTTTATTCTGGAAAATAATCTTGAGCAGAAAATGCAAAACAACCATCAAAATCAGATTTATAAGAACTAATAAAGAAAAAAAAAATGTTGTTATTTATATTCAGCAGTAGTATCTTTTAACCACATTTAAGTATTTTTCATCTGCCAAGAAACCACCCCGAGATTGGTAGACAAAGCATTTTGACAGCACTTCAACACCAAAGTGGTACACAAACTTGCAGCAAAGGCAGGAGAGAAATAAGCATTGGTTAAGTATTTTGTCAAACAACTAGTCACGACAACAAATTGTTGGAAAGTGGGAAATTATGGCATTTCATGATACACATGAACCTTGCATGTAATCAAGGTTCTAACTGAAGGAGAAACTTTTTCAGAAGCTTCAAGCTTCTGAGGTCTAGAGAATCTTATATTTATTCTTCATTATTACTTAGAAGCTAAAATAAGAAATATTAAAAACCAGGATCAAAATTTTTTATTAGAAATGCAAATAGGAAGAGAAAACTCTTGTCCTGAAAAATGTAGACCTAATATAAACTTAGGTTAAACTGCAAGCACCTAATGTCAGAAAGGATGCAGTAATAAATAACAGATGAAGTTTTCAAAAACACAATGAAACATCTCTAAATGCCACTATAGAAACTAAATATAAACAGGTTGTACCAAACATGATTGCATGATAAGCACATAACCTACTACACCACCAAGAAAAACTGCTGTACAAACCAAAGACCTGTATTCCCCTTATAATACGACAGTGGATGAGCTCCACACATAAATTCAATCATTCCATGTTCTAACACACTCACTTTCATAGTGCAGAATGTTTTCCATATGATACATTTTCTATCAGATTCAATCTTTCCAAAAGTAAGAAACACCAAAGAATCCCAGTTCAGTGAGCCCAAGGGTGAGCCAAAACTATATTTGGTTGCAGGTATGAGGTATGCATAAGTATTGCCATGGTTGAAAAGTAAAGTCCACAAAGGCTTAGACAAGTAGAAGCCGGATGGGTTAAACATCCAACCTAAAACTAATAGATAAAGGTGGAGAGCTCCAACCTGAATATAAAGCCATAGCACACTTTAAAGAGCCAATGTGAGATAACACCACTTAATAGCTATTAGTTAAATAAACTAAAGGATGTATTACCAGCCCACATTTTGTACCATGTTGATGGTAAAAATGCAATACCAAAGGTATAATGCTCAAGCTCCCAAGCATTTAGGATAAAGAATTTAGTCACTCACCATCAGGGCTCCCTAATGGAGGTACGCCATGCCCACCAGCACCCATCCGAAGAATAATTGTTATTGCAGGATTAATGAATGCATGCTGACTCCTACGAATCTGCATAAAACAAAAACACATGTAATCATTTCAAATAATTCTTTTTATGTCACGAAACTAACTTTAAGAAGTTCTGATCAGAAGAAGAACAAAGTATACCTCATCTATATCACCGAATGGTATTACCACCTGTTATGTAAACAAAAACTGTTAAGATTTGAAACACTGAACATATATTTTCATTTTATAATACCATAAGAGGTGTCAAATCTATACAATTTCTTTTACCATCTTTGTATAGTTTACTCTTTTTTTCCCCTTACGAAGGAGGATAAGGAGATTTTTATGTGTAAAAGTCTACATATCTCTGGATAGAGCTGTTAGTAAACTCACTATTAATTTAAGCATATCTTATGAAGAGGTTACCAAAATTTAATAGAATAAACCTTGGTAAAGTATGCACCAAAATGGCAAGCTAACCTTCATTTGTTTGGAGAACACATTAGAATGGAAACAGATGTGCCATGCAGAAACATACATACGACCATGGTACAAGAATGACCTCTCAAGTGCACATGAATAACTATGCGCCACAACCTGAAATAAATAATCTATTTGTTAACCTGCTGCTCGAAGTGATGAAATGGGGTGGCCAAGAACTCCTATTTGTTACTCTAACCGTATGATGCCTAATTTATTTATAAATAGTTCTTGCTAGAAATACATTTTTATGAGACTTACCTCATCAGGAAGGAGGTTAAATATTGTCTGTAAAGGCCCTGGCTTTTGATGAACCACGGTAGGCCCTCGTTTATCTAAAGTAATCCTTCTTCGAGCATTAGCTCCAGCATATCCATTTATACCCCTGTCAGTAAAAGCTTTCAAACGATTCAATGATATATAGGTACAATAAACATAATTCCCCCAGTATTTTTCATTAACTGGATTAACACAGGAAACAAAAACTAGCATAATTTAACACAATTATTTTTGTTTTAAGTGTGTGTGTGTGTGTGTGTGTGTATCAGAAGCTGCAAGATATACCTGGAGGAATTCAGAGGGAGTTTTATTGTTTTAATATGTAGACAAACCTGAAAAGCAGTAAAGCCTTTTATTCATCTTGATAAGAAGTAAGAAATAATATAAAGAAGCCAGAAAAATAAGATAAATACAGAACTTAGGAATAAAAGATCACCTGTCCAGATGGGCTATCTAATGTATGCCATACTGCGGTACTTTGACCTTCACTTTCAACTGGAACAGAAACTGAACCAAGAACAGCACTCTTCCAAATAATATCCCAGTCATATATTGTCACATTTATCTGCAAGAGAGTAAGAAGATTCTGTTAGACAAACCATGCCACATCGGAAAATAAAAAGGATTGTTAATGGAGGTGTCTTCATTTCTTTATCTTTTATAAATGCATCCTTCATTGAATTACTCTATCTCACTCTTTTTCTTATAATTATGCCATTCGCTACTCAAATTACAATAAATAAAGTTCCCTTTGATTACAATGCCAAGAATTAGGGAGAGGAATACTGACAGATAAATTATTAGGGACATTCATGTTAAATGGCTTTGAACAGCTACGATATAATCACAATATGTTGCAGCAACTTGGTAAAAACAAGCGAATGTAAAATTGGTAAACCCAGGGATCTAAGTCTGATAGAAAATAGCTCCTTTAAAGCACAAATGATCCATAAAGAAATTTCGAACAATTTACATTAAAGCATGGTTGATATTCTTTATGTAAAAGCTCCATTAAGACAGAAATAAAAAGGTTTAAAAGGTGTTACATGTAGAGAAAGACAAAATAACAAAAGAGACCTGGTTTCTCACCACCAGGATGAGACTAGGCGCATGAGCTTCTGCATAAAATGCATATCAAAGAATCTAAAAGAGTGAAGACTGCATTTTTTTAACAAGGCCCTAGTCTCTCTCCAACCCTTAGAAGAAAAAATTATTCAAACCATCATACATCTATCGGTTAAAACCATACTTCAAAAGCTGATAAGCATCTGGCAGTCCAAAAATACAATCAGTTTGCCTCAAGAATGACAACAAAATGTATATCAAAGCAAGAAGACAAGAACAATGCTGCTTGTTGGTGATAAAATAATTTGATTTAAATCAAAAGCACATGAAGTTAAGCTAAACCAATGTGGGTGGCATACATGTTCCACAAAGAATGTAAACTGAAAATTGTCCGAATCTGTCTATAACAAGAATAAACTATAATGAAAACCTGAACAGGAAGCTCATCTACAGAGAAATTGAACTCCTCTCCCCACATTGGGTTTCTTGAACCAGGGATCATTGAACTGCAACAGGAACACAAGTAAATTCTTAAGAAAGAGGTATTGTTTATTTCTTATAAAAATACTTAAAAATAAGAGGACTTATGCGGAAGTACAAAGGTCTATATCTGGCCATTTCTGACTTCTCCAGATACAGCATGTTGGAAAGAACTGGAATGGTTATTCCTTCCAACTATATAATTTCAATAATTTAAGGCTCATACATGTATCACATATAAAGCTTCTCCGGTTCACCTAGACATCTATGAATATCACAGTCCCAAAGACCAAAGGATCCAAACAACAAAAACAACTCCGTCTTTTAGCCCTCAGTCCTTAACTCTCTCACTAGTTTTACTTCATATGCATTCCCTATCTCTGTTCTTAAGCCTAAAGATTTCAGACGAATTTCCATGCACCATAGTTGAAATTTCATCAACCCAATTTGAATGAGGAAAATCATGCATGCATGTATAATGCAGAAGGCTAAGGACTTTACTTGTTCCCAAATTTGAACTATTATTAAGTACTACAGGCCACTTTCTTTTTTGTTGGAAGATCGCCCTTGTTGTTTACATATAAATACCACATAAGCGTTTTCAATAATTTAGTAACCATGTCAATCTGCAAGCAAGAATGCCATTGCCATGGAATATCCTTTACCAAAAGCCTTAGACTCTTAATCATAACCTACCATACATGCAAAATCTAAATAAACACTACAAACATAAAAGTGTCACAATTTGAAAGAAGAATCATGAGCCTTTATAATATAAAGGTTACCCCCCCCCCAAAAAAAAAAAAAAACTCTAGCTATCTATTTTCCTTTATAACACTAACCTCAAATACAAATGTCACTGTTCCCTTAAAGAACTAAAAATGTAACTATAAACCTAAAAATCTTGAACAAACAAAAATTCTGAAAGGTAAAGTTAAAAAATAAATTCAAAAAATCCTCATGATCAAGTAACCGGTAAGTGGCAACCATAAGTGCTCTAAAGCCAAAATAAACCAAAGTACCCTTATGATGGTAATAACCATAAGAAGGAAAAAAAAAGGTACTATGTTATTATTATGCAAGCAAAATGTTGCTTTTCCCAGTAAGTGCTTCTCATGTATGCTACTTGTAGAGCTTACTTATAATCATAAAAAACTAAAACTTAAAATGAACAAATATTGCTAAAAAAGTCAGAAGTCATCAACCTTAAGAAACTCACAATGAAAAAAAAAAAAAAAAACAACTAACCTGAATCTCTTTTCAGAAACACAAGTAATGATGGCATAAGGATCTGATGTGCCATTCAAGTTTGCACCAATGAGATTCTTAGCTGCCAGCAATTCCACCTTAAAAAGAAAACAAACAGAATCTCATTTCAGATTCAAAACAAGACTCATTACATGAAATAAAATCCCATATTACCTTGATTAGATATGGAGAATTGGTCTGAAGATCTTCCTTCAACTGGACCATCTACAAAATAAGTGCACAACTGCATGTCAAAGAAGTGGAAAATTACTCCGTGAAGAGAGCACACACAACATTTTGTACTACAATAGAATAAGATAGAAAATGTTCATGTTTACATATGGCATTGAGTTAAACAGCTATAGCAGTGCATTTAATGGATGGCACCAAAATTACATCATATATATTTTTAACGGACAGTATCATATAAACCAAAAAGTGTGTGGTGCCAAGCAGAGAGATTGTTTTGTCCTTCATTAGAGAAAACTCCAACAACCATCAATTTCTCATCTTATTGGAAATTTTACCAGCAATAAATAACAGCCAACATAACAAGAAGAAACTAAGCAATTTTCTGGTATCTAGGGATCATATTGCACAAATGTACTCTATTCAACACCATATTGCCTAAAAAAAATCTATAAAACTCCACATAAACAGAGACTAATAAAAAAAAAATTCACAGAAAAGAACCCTTTTATTCTAAAAAATGTGCACACAATATATATTCCATTAATAATCAAATAAAACCCCCCAGCAAAAAAAAGAAAAAGAAAAAAGAAATCTCACTGAGAAAATTATCACAAAATAAGGAAAATGAATTGAACTTCATTTAAAAAATCTAACAGCAAGGGCTTAAAATTTACATTAATAAAAAGGGCAGAATTCAAGATAAATAGGAAAAAAAAAAGTTCAATTCTTACTTATCAAGGAAAAAAGATTAAAAAAACTTCACTCAGAAACCAAAACTAACAAATTAAGGAAAAAGTAAATAAATTGACGTTGACTAATGCCATTAGTAACACCCAAAAAAACCAAAACACAAACCCTAAAAAAAGGACGTGAATTTGCCTTCACTCATTGCCATCATCTACAAGAAAAATTCATAAACAAATAAAATTCACAAAAATAAAACCACAACAACCTAAAAACAAAAGTCAAAGGATTGACCTTGTCTTTATCGTCAAGAATTCCGTCACCAGAATTCTCCACAAGCTGCGACCGATCACCACCATCTCCGCCGCCATCTCCGCCTCGGAATGTAAAAAGCCAATAAGAAACGATCACGAACACCGACGCCGCCACCGCCACTTTGATCTCCCACCACGACGGAACCAAATATTCCACCACCGCCTCCGCCGCCGCCGCCGCCGTTTCAATCATCATATATATATTTGCTTAAAATTTCCGCTTTGTTTTTTCCCGTAATTATTATTTATATGAAATTACATTAAAAGAATTCAATCAACATTTTGGTTAGATATTGAAAGGGCTTTATATTAGGGTTCTTTGATTTGCAATTTTGTACAGAAAAAAAAAAAAAGTTAGAAAAAAGCATTTTTTTGGGACAGAGTCAAAGGTGAAGACCGTTGGAGGGTCGAAAGACTTGACATTTAACACCTGCAAAAAATCGTTATTAGATTTTTTAATGACGTAAATACCCTTATGTTTTTCCTAATTAAACAGAATGTATACCTGTTTGTTTTGTGGTTTTGGTGAGTTTGAGGGGTATTTTTGTTCGGTGAGTTTGAAAAATATAACGTAGAAAAGTTAGTTTTCGTGTGAAATGGAGAGGAAGAGTTGATAGTTACGACTTTGATTATTAAAATGGATTTAATCGATTGATTTAATTTGGTTCGATTCATTTGATATGAATAATAATTAGTTAAAAAAAATTAATCAATTAATTTGATTATTTTTATATTTAAAATCAACAATAAAATCAATTAAATTAATAAAATTTTTAATATATTAAATAAATAATATATTTTTATTTATGTCTATAATAATGATAAATGTAAAATTGGTGGCAAAATTATAGGATGAGTCTTATTTGATAAAAACTATTATAAAATTATTGTTCAAAATTATGGATCATAAAAGAAATTTAATTTTTTTTTTTTCAATCAAATTGATTGAATCAACTGACTTATTTTAATTCTACTAGTTTTGATTAATTTTTATTAATTTTTAAGGAAGTCGATTAGTTTGGTTTATAATTTTTTTAAGATCGAAATCAATTTTTTTTTGTATTGTTGGTTTTTAAAATCATTATTATAAGTTTTAAATTCTAATCATAAATATAACCTATTTGATTGGCATGTGATTTAAGAAGCATTATCATTTGAACAATAATTTTTAGTATGAGTTATTTTATTTAAGTGTCCTTTTAATTTTACAACACTAGTATATTTAAAATTTCCCACAACTTCTTAAATTTATTTGTACTAACAACAAAGAAAAAAATATTGAATTTTAAGCTCTTGCAAACAAATGAAATCAAAAGTTTAAACAATTTTAAGAATCTTATTTGTTTTATTGTTATAGTAGAAAAGAAAATACAAATATGGACAATATCTAGAATAGTATATGTGTATTCAAAGTTATAAATAGAATTAACAATGCTCACAAAGATTAGTATAATTGATAAGGAGATGAGTTTTTTTTATATCAATTAAGATTAGAATTTTATAAAATGTTTTTCGAGAATAAAATTTTTATTTTTAAATGCAATTAAACCTCATAATTTAAAATACGATATGGTAACATGAACATAATATAAAAATAAGATACGAAAATAATATGATTTAAAATTTTAATAATAATTATATATAAATTTAATATAATTAAAAAATATATTTTATATTTTCGTATTAATATGAATTATAATATATATTTTTATATAAAATATAATATAAATATATGAATATTAATATTTTACATGATACAAATGCACAAATCACTAAATATAAATGCAATAAATTAATGTGAAAATATTTAAAATCGATCCAATAAAAACTGGACTTTAGTTAATTTATCTTATGTTGTGATTTGTCCCATAGAACTAGGCATAGTCAATGCACATCCTTTTCACTTAATTGAATGATAGCTTTGGAGGAAATTAGATTAGAAAAGATTGGTCTTTATTGGAAAATAGGACCTATCAATCCATTTTATCTAGAAATCTTCATCTCAAATTTCCATATATTCCTTCACTTTTCAAACTTATGCTTTGAAAATATTTGCCATGAGAATGATCAGAGAAGATAGAAAAAATATTATTTGACTTAGAAAATAAGAAACATTTGACTTGACTACAAGTATATCTTATCTTTTTGTGCAAAGAGTTAGACTTTCAAACACATTTGATCATTTAAAATAAATATGATTACGAAAATAATATGAAAAAAAAAGTTACTTGGATTAAAATTTTAACAAAAATTATTTTTAAATTTAAAAAATAAATAAATAAATTTTATATTTTTCATATCAAGATAAATTATGATATATAATTTTTATATAAAATTTAAAATGAATACATAAATTATCAATATTTTACATGACATAAATATACTAACAATCGAATTTGTTTTTTAGTGCTTCCACAAAAATTGGACCCAAATTGATAAATAAATAAATAAATAAAGAGAATTTTTTTTATTAATTCTTTGTAACTACATATAAAGGCGTATTCCATCATTCCTTCCCAAACTCAACGCATGATGAGATTGGATACGATTTTTTAGGCCCCCGATACATGGCACATACGTAATGTAATGTAAGTGGTTGATAAAATTACGTTATTTTCATATTTTTTATTATTTTCATATTTTACTATTGTATTATATTAATTTTTAACTTAATATTTTACTGTCTCTGGTACATACTTTTATATGTATGCAATACATGATATGGGTATAATTAGAGATGAAGGGAAATTTTTTTTTTTTTGGTCGGGTTGGTAAAGCTGACTGTACTGTATCTTTATTTACTTCATTTTTTAGTTTTAGCTGTTTTGTTTTGGTCGGCTTAATGTTATTGACTGTACTGTATCTTTATAATTAGCTGTTTTGTTTTGTTTTTTAAAATTATTTTAGCTTATAAATATTATTATATTAAATTATTCTACATAAATTATGAAATTTTTAAAAAAATCACAATAATGATGAGCACAACTATCATTAGTTATATCCGTAACTGCTATGATCACATTTTAAATGCACCATGGAGGATTGTTAGATTTTAGTTCTATTTGATTTCTTTTAAAAATTTGTTAATGTTTTGCTATGTTAGGGAGTAATTTCTGGGTGATTGATGCATGCACCAGTGACATATCTCTTCCTTCTTTGAATTTTAAAAACTTATAGGCTTCTAATATTGTAGCTTTTTCTTTAAAAAAAAAAGTCTGCAGAAATGTATGGTTTAAGTAATCAATTCAATTCGAATTAAATGACTGAAAGTTAATTCCACAGGATGTTGTCTACTTCAATCTGTTTAGTGGCTGAAGCAAATCAGCTCATCAAAGTTGAAAATCATAGTTATGGTCATAAATGAATCATTGTTGTGAAAAAAAAAAAATCCGGGGAACTGCAATCACTTTTTTTATTTTTAACGAATTTAAGATTTAAATTTCAATACTTATAATTTTGTATTTTATTTTCAAGCTGTAGTCTCCCATATAAAAAATAAAAAATAAAAAGCATTGAGGAAATAAGAGGAATGGGGTGGGGGATAAAAATCCATTTGATGCTGTATTTGAGTAGTATTTACTTGATAATTTAAAATTTTTAACAACTCAAGCTTCAGGTTCCACAAGAAAAAACCTGTTATTAATGATCTGCATGGCTGAAACTAGAATCTGATACTAAAGCCTTTAATCAACCCAAAGTTTCAAGTTTTGATGTGATGACATTGGCAAGAAAGTCTATTGTCTGAGAAAGAAAATGAGGCAAAGGACAGACAGGAAGCAATTCCTGTTACTCCTGATGTAATTATAACTCAAAAAATAATGGAGTTGACACTAGAAGAAGCTGTAGCAATGCATGCTTCAATGGGTGGGGTCACAATGCAAATTAATGATGCCAGCAGCTGCAGCAGCACATCTTGCCACTTCACCTGCGTCTGCAGTTTTCATAGTTTGCTTTCACATGATATGCCCCAAACACCACCTGATCAATTCTAGGCAAATAAAATTTTTTGGAGCCAAAATTGACCTTCAAGAGTATGAAAAATTGTTGAAGCATTTAATTTAAAATTAATTAGTAATAACTGAAGAGATTTAACTTAAATATAAAATTATAAAAAATTAAATATTTGTTAGATATAAAAAACATTACTTTGAAGTATAAACAAAAAAAAAAAAAAAAACTTGTCACGTGATAAATTAAGAAAAAAATAATAAGAAAAAAATCATAATTTTGATATCAGTCAAATTAGGAAAGTGCAATAAAAAAGAGATCTTAATTCTGATACTATATTAAATATTCAATTTAAAATCAATTGACAATAAGTGAAATCACTCAATCTGAATATCAAATAATAGATTTGAAAAGGATAATAGAAAGAAATCTTAATTTTGATACCATGTTAAGTATCCAATTTAATATATCAAGTAATATATTAAGTATTCAACTTAAAATCAATTGACAATAAATGAAATGATCCAATCTGAATATCAAGTGATAGATTTGAAAAGGATAATAGAAAGAGATTTTAATTTTGATATCATGTTAAGTATCCAATTTAAAATTAATTAAAAATAAATAGAGGGATTCAACTTAAATATAAAATTATAAAAAATTAAATATTTATTAGATGTGATATAATATCACGTCCAATCCAGAGCAAACAAAATGCTTTTAATGTTTACTATGTAAAAAGGCAAAAGATGACTGGAAACCTTGGTAGTATCTATCTTTTGACCCTGGAAAGAAAAATGTAAAGTTATATAGAGATCATATCCTATTAAATCTATCTTTTTTTAACTTTCCTGTTAAACTCTAGTTGATTTCTATTGCGCCTGAAACAATAAATACAACAACGTAAAAATAATATATTGTAATAAACCTACAGTAATAGACAACAATCAATAACGCATAAAAAATAAAGCACACAAAAATTTACATGGAAGACCCTCCAGTGTAGAGGGAAAAACCATGGACCACTAAAAAAAATTTTATTATCAAATAATGAATATACAAAGTTTTTCTATAGCTAAAACTATAGTTAATCAATAACTAAAGAGACAATTAGAGAAATCTCATCAAATAGGTAACTCAACAAATACATTTTGAATTTGTTCCTAGAGAGCTTCAAACTTAATCTTCACTGCTCAGAATGTAGAACTCTGAATCATAAATCTGCTAACAAATTTTTAGCTCAATCGGATAACGGATCGACTTTCATTCAACCAACTATCTTTCTCTTTTTTCTCTTTGCTTTTCCTGGATTATCTTCTTTTCTCTTCTGGTTTGCAATACCACCTTAAACAACCCCACCTCTTTTTTATTAAGCAGCTAGGGCTCTGTGTAAAAAGAAAGACCAAGGCCCATAACCTTTAGTTGGTCCAAAACCAATTACATGGGGTTGAACCTTATTTTTCTAACAATCTCCCCCTCTAGCCCCATTAGAAAAGAGATTCATCACCATAACAGTTTCATTTAAAGCTTACCTTGGTCAAGAAACTCATTCCAGCCAAGTTACTGCAAGCTCAAGCTTTTTTCTGGGAACTGTCTTAGTCAATATATCTGTTACATTCTCATCAGTATGGATTTTTTTCAA